TAGTACGGTTCCATAACACACAGAGACATAGGACACATTAAATAAATAAAATGGCAAGTCAGGACTTTTTTGTGAACTCAGACTAAGCTGCTGCTGACATTTTGACAATTCTCACATTCTCACAGTCTGACAGGCAGTCGGACCACGAACAGCCCTCCTGCCGCAGTGGCCTACTTTAGAAACACCGAGCGAGGGAGAGAGAAAAACAGAAGAGAGTTAACAGAGAGAGGAATGGAGGACTTCTGCAGAGCACAGGGAAGATTAAATAATACTGGCAAACGTTCCCTTAGCTTCCCACCCTTTCCTGTGTACTTTCTAACTGGGTGCCATCCACATGACCTCTGAACACCGTCTTAGTTACCGTGGCCCATCATTTATAAAAATAAATAAATACTAACAAGAAAGGGACCCCACCCTTAAATGTGTTGGCTAGCAGCTCGCAATCTGTGCAGGGTTGAATGGCCCATTCAGGCTCTGAGAATTAGATCATGGATAAATGGGTGACTGCTCTTCATTCTTCACAATCAGTAAAAGTGATGGACGGCTTCAACACAGGATTGTGTTGTCAGAAGGCTGATCTATTTGGAGTTCAGCTGTCTGAATTTTTGTTTTCCAGTGGCTAGTCAATATTTATCACACACAAAGTGAAAAACCTCTGCCAGTAAAAGTAATCAACAACCTTGTCAGATTGTCAGCCAAACATGGATGCTGGAAGCGACTGTGACAGATAGAAATATATGTACGTAATATATTTCAAGATCACCATGATACAGTAAATCTTGTCATCTTATGTGGTAGGGCCATTGGAATCATAATGTCTTTTATCAAAGTGTGTTACCTACAAGAGTTTATTGAGCATTAGATGGCTTGGTTGTGTACAATTTCCAAACATGGGGATACAAATGTCCAAAATGTTAGGAGATTTGTCATTGTTGATACGTTTATTAGATACTCTCGATATTAAAACACCAACATTATTATGCTGTTCTGAAAGCTAACGTAAATGCTATAGAGTTTTAGCATTTGAACAATTTTAAAGAGTTCCTGGAAAAATGTATGTGCAGTTTATATTTCATGCCTAGCCGGAGGTACTTCCAGCCTTCTTAACGCCAACAGATTGATTGACTGACCATACACTGAAACGTTTTTGCTCCCACAAAAGTATTTGACACCTGCACACATTTGGGAGCTCTGGGGAAATTAGATTTTTTTTTAAAAGCACATTATATTTTTCATGCATTTATATATTGCTTTTCTGACTGATTGCGCTGCACTTTTAGCATTGAAATATTTTATTAATTATGCGATTGTTTAAATAACATACAAACAATGTGGAGTCAAAATTGCAATTAGACAGGGTTAAACCGCCCAAAACTCTCATTGGAATGTTTTGCTCCAATTCTTGTAATTACTCACTAATAAACATCGAGCAGATGTCAAACACTAGCATGTTGTTTGGGCTCGGTAACACACTTTGATTACATCCCAACAAGTACTGTGGTAATTAGAGTTTTGTTTTTCCTTTTCACATCTCCCCTCCAGCTCACCCTGCTCCTCCTGCAGAGTGAAGTGTGAGTGACACTAGTGAGGGATTCCTGTAAAGCAAGGTCAGCACAAATGAGAACCAGGCTCAGACTGAGTCAGCTGGCTCCTTTCTCCTGTCACTTTTTTCTAAGCTTGACGCCACAGAAAAAAAAGTGAAAACTCACTAAAAATAGCAAACCAGAGGCCAGGAGCCAAAGAGCCTCGGCAACTGTTTTCCCCCTATGAATCATGTTGGTCACGCAAGTGGAAGAGAACAAAAGGTAGGCAGAAATTAAGCTTGCTTTTTGTGAATTCACAGTTTACCTTTGCACTGTGGTTTTAGAGAGTTCTGCAACTTTAACACATTGTACGTTTTGAAGTCATAATTCAAGGCTTATTTGTGGAGGTTTACTACATGCCTGTATGAACATAAAAACACACCAAAAACAAGAAAACATGAAACCATCCTAACACACATGCGTAGTGGACAAGCATGCACACACTCCCTAGGGACTCAGCAAGGGGAAAGAGCAAGAATATTTTCCTTTGCCAGCAGAGATAACAACTGACAAACAGCGAGAAACTGGATCTTGGCACCAGAGGGACGGCTGAGAGCCTTTGAGTGTCAGTGTGTAGGGATGTATGTGTTCATGGTAATTTCCTTGGGGGGGATACCAGATTCCAGATTCACTGCAGGGGCCAGCCTGACCTTGGAGCATAAGTTACCTCAGCCAACTTCCACAGGTCCTGTTTGTAGCCTTGGGAATTTGTTCAAAGGGATTTCTAGGTAGAGAGCACATAATGAATACCTTATCTTACCTCACATGGAATTTTGACATTTGATTAAAATGAAGATAAATGCAACATTTCATTCACAATCACCTGACTAACAATTGAAACTTGTGATTTCATGAACGTATTAGTACATTTTATGTGGGAAAGGCTGACTATTTCATACTGCACTTCAATACATGTATAAAAATGAATACAGATATAATGTCCGTTTTTTTCCTATTATGGGAGTCCCGTACCTCCAGTTTTAATAGTCTCACAGTGCACGGAAAATACATTAAACAACTATTTTCACAGACACACTACTCCTTGTGACAAGTAAACTGAAACATTGGTAGCATGCCCTGCTAAATATTTAGTCACCAAATAAGTTGTGTGAACGCTATGAGGAGATAAGAAAAGATTATGTTAGTGCAACCATGTCTTCAAGCATGCCAGATTTAGTCCGTTTCTACTGAGGTATGTGAAAAACAAAGTTTGAAGGTAAGATAAAGAAAGCACTTGGCTGTGCATGAAAAGATGGGATCAGTTTGACTTACTAACATAAATCATTTATATACATTTTCCATTCACTTAGACTTTATGCATTTACATGGCTAAGGTCACGAAAGGCTACAACAGAATATTGAACAAACACTCATCTTGGGGCTTATCAACTTATCTTAAGCTTTTCTTAAAATAAACGCCTACTGTAAACCAACTACAACAAATGTCTTCGTTCATCAGTATTTAATAAGAATTACTTACATTGAACTACAACAACTAATGCAGTGCATCAACATGTGTCTCTAACATAAACCAATGTTACTTTATACTTAAGAGCTGCATGCTTGGTGTTTAAGAAGCTGCATATTAATGTGAGTGTAGTCATTATTATTAAAGTAGAACTGATCAAAGTCAGAATGAAAGAGCAGCTGGATACTAACTACAGTGAAGGCCACGTCTAACATGATGTGTACAGGCTTGGTTCCCAGAGAGCGCAGCTGCAGGTTACACAGAAAGAAAACAAGGTCTTTAGCAGATGGAAAATTTTAAAAAAAGGGACATTTGTTGAAAAAATATATTCATTAAATTACATAATTTAGTTTCTTAATAGCCTTCCTTCCCCTTCTCCAAAACAGTTGCAGTTGCAGTTGATTACCATTGTCTCACAGATTAACATGAAACTACTTAATGATAACACACAAATACTATAGCGTACCTACAATTTTCATATTTGTCTTCAACATCTCCAGGGGATAAACGACGTCTGCTCCAGAGAGATTTCTCACAGATTTACCTAAATAACCTATGGTGCCTGTAGCAGCTGGAAATGGGCCAATATCAGCTGGGGAAATTGTTATGGGTATGTTATGGGTATGTGTCACTACTAGTCACCTCTAGTTGTGTGTGTGTGTGTGTGTGTGTGTGTGTGTGTGTGTGTGTGTGTGTGTGTGTGTGTGTGTGTGTGTGTGTGTGTGTGTGTGTGTGTGTGTGTGTGTGTGTGTGTGTGTGTGTGTGTGTGTGTGTGTGTGTGTGTGTGTGTGTGTGTGTGTGTGATCATTAAAAAATGTGAGGAGTTAGTGAAGGAGTACGGTGCAAAAGTAGTCTTGAGACAGCAGGCTGTAAACACAGCTGTGTGTTGAGGCGGATGCGCACGTGAGGGAGGGAAGCAAGCCCGTTCTTCTTCTCTCTTTTTTCTAGCAGAATCAACATTCAAATGTGTAATTCATCATCACCTTTCATTTCACATGACGTCCTGTGCCTTTCTCACTGGTTCCGCAGGAGCTTCTGGATCTGGCTCCTTCTCCACCATCTTGTCAAAATCCATGTCCAGCTCCTTCTGTACATAACAATAACACAGAAACACCGCACGGTTGTGTGTGATGACCAAATGAGGCAGAAATCCCCAGCAGCTATGCAAACATGTCTGTGCTCCATATGAAATAAACAATTTGCAATTATTCAGCTACGTCAACATCATATGCCTTTATATGAGCTGGGAGAACTGAATCCACTGCTGACTGGATCTTGGCTGGACCTCAGTTTTCTCCAATACCTATAAAGGCTAACTTTGAATGTATCTTATGATATAAAATTAATAGATGCCTTTTTGTAAGGAACAAATGTAAGAAATTGTTTGTAGTTTGCAATTTTCAGGATGTACACATTTAGTCAATTTAGGGTTTAAATGTGCAGATAATCTCAGTCAATTTGATGTAATTTAATGTGCATCATGATTGATCAAAAACATACTTTTAAGATACACTTAAATGTTATGTTGTAACAAGTAACATGTAATGTTTTTTGTCAGTATTGGTTGTTAACATCTTGGAACAATGTAGGAAATCAGTCCTTTAAATGTAATTCCTTGGATTGAATTTAAACAAATAAAACCAAATTCAATATCATAATGATAATAAACTGGATTAGTTTAGTGAACATGTAGTAATGTTCCAGAAGCCAGATGGTGACCATACTGGATGTATGTCTCTGTCTGTTGCTGCAGTCATCATTTGGGCTGTGATTCTGCCCAAAGCCAAGTCTTCACTTCATTTTAGTAAAAGCTCTCTATAGTTAAATACAATGCTTCAAAGTTACCATTCCCAGCTAAGATAACTGTAAGACTTTTAAACTTAAATTAATGTTCAGTTCTTCCCTGAAAGCCTTGATATGAGTTCTGAAAAAGATGAGGCTGACTCTAGTTTGTCAAAAGAGATCAGTAGGAATTTATTATTTGCTTTAAATACATGTACAGCTTTCTTTTTTCTGCCATTGCTTCACTGATCAGTCCCCGACAGTCTTCTCAAACTGAAGTCCAAATGGAGATACAGAAAATGTCCTTACAGCATGATTATGAGTTGGATAGATGATGTGCTAGAGTTAGGCTTTTTGGATATGAAGTTTTTGATTAAACCAATGCCAAATTTGAATGAGGGGTTTTGCAGCGTTTTGTTGAACACAGAACAGAGGTAGAAGCCGTTTTTTGAAAACAAAAGTCTTCCAATCTCTGCAAATACCCAAAAATATTAAATAGGATAAATATGCATGAGATAATGAAAAGACAAATGTGAAGCCTGTTGCCTCGTGCTCTGCAATCAGATCTGTAAAACTCGATCTGAACAATGAGAGCAGAAGAAAGGGTGCAGATGATGAGTTAAACACATGGAACCAGAAAACACCTCATCATGTTGGTGACAATACAGAAGAGTGAATCATAGCAATACAAATGCACAGAACTGAGAGTTAACATGGAAAATAAATACTGCACTGGTTGCTTAATCTTTGTACATTCATCAGGGCTAATGAGTTCAGGGATTTGCTTCCCACTTGTCTGTATCACGTGCTACTCCGTAATCACGTATTTCTCCAAGTTATTCCACTTTCCTATGAAAAGCCCAGCCCATGCATTGCATGTTATTTATGTTGTGCTGAGATGAACAACTTCACAGTAAAATACATTTAAGTTAATGACTGGTGTACATTTCAGGAAGCACTTTTTCTGTCAAAGACACAGAGGTGAACAGCAAGTTGAGTTTTCCTTGAATAACAAAGGGAATGTGCTGCCGTACAAAACTGCACACCACAATAGAGTGCTGAGCTACTGGAGAAGCAGGCATTAAGATCAATCACAGGTTGCCATACAGTTTCTGTTTAGGATATTCGATGATCTACAATTTTGACAAAAAAAGAAAAATTCTTAAGGTAACAACACAGCATAGTGTGAGCTGTGCTTGGTTTCCTACTGTCAAAATGTGGCAGCAAGTCCTGTTTTTATATAAATAATGCTAAAAACACAACATCCCCCTCTCACTCACATCAGAACCATCACAAGAGTCTCTAAAACCTAGGAGACACATACAGTACATAGCGTAGCCTGCATACATACAAATATACACATATGCAAATACACAATAACAATAACCTCCCAAGTGGAATAATGGCATTTCTGGATCTGAAATAATAATTTTATATAAAAATATATAAAAGTAAAATCAAAACAACTGTCATCTGAATTGGTGTGAAAAACCATAATCACCAGTGCTGCTCCACTGTGTAATGCATTGTCAGTTCAATGAATCAGTGTTTTTGTGAACACACATTGTTTGAATGTCCATGGGATCCACACATACATGTCCAGAGGCCATTTTAAACGCAGCCACTAGATGAGATTAATACTGGAGTGTAAAAATGACACAAAGAGAGGAGCAATGTCCTTAGCTCCCTGGCCAGCCAGCGAGGGACATGAAAACTACACATGTATCTATCTACACACTAAGGGATCTCTGACTGCAGGGCATAGTAAGAACACATTCCCATGAAGAGGTCAGTTTAGCCCTTAACCCCGATCAGTTCATGGAGACCTGCGTCACTGTTGTGAGGGTGGGCCGTCCTGTCAACCCAGGCACATGTTCCCATTTTGTATATTCCTGTGACACTGCGGATCAATGGAAATACTTCAAAGTATGCACATATTCTACCATGAGAAGGTTAAGTATGTTTTTGTGGATGTGTTTATTGTCCAAAATTCATTTTGGTCAGACACTTGAAACACACCTCAAAATCTGGACATTTTTTGTAAGCTCCTTTCTCATGCTGAAACTTTGTTTCTGAGAATGAGAGTACAACTGCCTCCTCCATTGGCTTTTTTTCATTCCATCAAAAGAACAGCCAAAAGGATTCAGTTTGTCTGACTTAAATATTTGTTTAGTTTCTAGATCATATTCTCATCTCACGATCTGGACTCTGGTCCAGCGAGGGCTCCCTGGTGCTGATCATGGATGCTGACGGCCCCTGGTTGACTCCAAAGGGAGAAACAGCAGGAGATCGAGCTGCCAGAGGGGACAGCGAAGGGGAGAAGCTTGGGGACATCGCTGCTGAGGAAATGGATCCTTCATGACTGATAGGGGACCTGCGGAGTGAGGCCAAGTGGGGGAATGTCCGTCCAATCACAGGGACCTTGGGGGGAACTGACATGGCCCCTGGATGAGCCACTGATGTGATGAGTGGCGGAGGATCAATTCTAGGTTTGGGATCCATTTTGTGCTTTGGCTGGAAAGGTTGACGAGGATTCTGGGTCTGCTGTGCAGTTTCATCTTTCAGCCTGGCGATCTCTGTGAAGACATTAGCCAGAGGCTGGAACTGAGGGCACCAGTTGAGTAGGTAATCCCAGTTATAGCTACCGCGTAGCTCCTCATCACTGGCAACAATAGCCGTGAGGGAACCATCCACTCTAGGTTTACCATCCTCTGGGAAGGCGTAATCCTTGGGGAGTGTAATATTGAGGCCTCGTCCTGCTCCTAGGTACCCACCTCCCTCATCCCTATAGGCTGGTAGTTGACCAGAGAGCAGGGTCCCACTGATACTGCCTCCCAGTTTCTTTCCTTTGAACCAAGTGCTGCCCTCCAAAGCTGCCGGCTCACAGGATATATCGGAGAGCTGATCGGCGTCCTGCTGAATTCCAGAGTCTGGTCCTCTGGCAGAGATGTGCTCCTGCATGGACGAGGTGATGGAGGCAACACGGGGATACTCGTTTATCATCCTGATCTCATCGTCCTCCGCTGCCTCTGCTGATCCTCTTCCACTGGAGTGAGAGGGGTCCAGGGAGCCCCCTCTAGTGTAGGGTCCACCTCCAGCCCCACCCTGATCTCCAGCATAGCCCGGCAAGGCTTGGTGGTAAATCCTCTCCCCTCCTGACCTTGAGTTGCAATCATCTAGTTTCTGCAGAGCTGTTCCTGATGCAACAGTCCTGTTTCCTGCATCTTGGGCTTTTTTCTTTCTGCGTGACTTGACAAGAAAGATCACCACAGCCATGATCACAAGCAATACGATAAAACCGAGGGACACAGCAATGATGCAAATCAGCAGGATGTTGACATCTTGGGCCAGGCCGAAGTTGGTGTTTGAGACGTCGATGGAGACGTGGGCTGTAGTGGTGCGAGATGCATCTAGAGGACTGTGAGCTTTCACATCTACGGTCATCAGCCTGGTTTCCCGTTTGCCCCGACCTGAGCCGCTGCTACCACTGCTGCCTGAACCGTCCAACTTTAAGAAAAGGACCCCAGTGGTTTTGTTTACATCAAAGTACTGAGAGCTGGTGGGAAGAGAATAGAGAACAATACCATCCACCCCTTCATCCTCATCATTTGCCTGGATCTGTCCAATGCTTTGGCCTTTCTGAGCTCCTTCTGGGACTTCAAAGGAGAATTCAGAGGATGTGAAGAGTGGGTCATACTCATCTTCACCTGTGACAAACACTTGTACAGTAACAGTGGCCGAGAAGTTTCCTGAATCTACTGCCACTGCTACAAAGTTAAAGGAGTTGACCTTCTCAAAGTCAAAGGGAATTTTGCTTTTGATTTCTCCGGTGTTCTGGTCCACAGTGAAGCTGTCTCTTCCCGCCGCAGACCGCTCCACAATGTGATACTTCAGTTGACCAAAAACACCTGTGTCGTGGTCAATGGCATGAAGAACAGTCACAGCTGAGTTTGCTGGCCGGTTTTCTTTGATACTGGCTGTGAGGACTTCCACAGGGAAGAACGGATGATTGTCATTCACATCTTTGACCTCAACAATGACTGGAGCGAGTGCAAAGTGACCCTGTCCATCTGTGGCCTGGATGATGATAACATGTGTGGGTTGGTGCTCACGATCGAGTGTTCGCTGAAGTCGCAAGGCTCCAGTCCACTGGTCAATGGTAAAGAAGTTCACTTCATCTCCAGAACTGATAGTATACTGGACCTCAGCATTGGGAGTTGAGTCCGGGTCTGGCAAAAACACAACAACAGAGTATGATTAATTAACTGGAGGACAAAGTAAGCGGGGATTATTGAAAATACGAGATTATTGGGTATATAATAGTAGACGTTTGCCCACTGTAGAGGAAACTTCTGTGTAGCTATGCTGTGGGAGTCACCGACTCAGGAAGGAGACACGGTAGGAGCAGTAGCTTTGATGTCAAACACTGATGGTTTATTTGGAGTTACGGCCGGAGGATTCACATCACAAGTCCAAGAGCCAGAGGTTCTGACTTCACGGTAGAGTTGCCACATCAATTCTGGAGAGCCTCTCTCTTGCCAGCCCATTTAACTGGTTCCACAGAGAGTCATCAACATGTTTTGATAAGATAGCTTTAGATAGTTTGGGTACACTAAGTTACCAGCTTCCGCCACTTATGGCCTTGGATATGTCATGCCCTGGAGTCCTCAGACAACAGAGAAGGAAGTGTCCCAGTGTACCCACAATACAGACCATCTGTGACCCAGTATTGACCGGTCACAGAATGGGAACAATAACATTATTGGCTGAAACAGCCTGTGTCCTTAAAGGAGGTAAACAGACGTCAGGGTTGGTCCTGTACGTCATATCTAGGAGTCTAGGACAATTATTTCCCTAACACCCACCTGTAGCAGTCAGTCGTATGATCTCAGTCCCAGCGGCAGCTCCCTCACTCAGAGACACAGTATATTCTGCTCGGCTAAACACGGGAGGGTTATCATTCACATCACCAATGGTTATCACCGCAGCAACATTAGAGCTCCTCTGGGGCACACCACGGTCCGACACCACCACAGTGAGGTTGTAAATGGGCTTGGTTTCAAAGTCGAGCCCCTCGGCCAACAGCAGAGTCCCGACGGTCTGAAAGCCCCGCCCCTCCAGGAACCGCACGCTGCTTTCAATCTGGAATGCATTTCCCTCATTGCCATTGGCTATAGCAAAATCAAAGCCGCAGTTTTCTCGGGAAAGGTCACTGTCAAAGGCTTCGAAAGTCAGAACTGTTGACCCTGGGATGGTATCCTCGGAAACCGTAGCCCTGCAGGCAGAGAAAACATGTATTTGTAAACGCTGTTGAGGTTACATCATAACACATCCAGAATGTAAAAGAGAGTACACTGACCTGTACTCTGATTGGTGAAATACAGGAGCATTGTCATTGACGTCAGATATTTGGACCTGGACAGTGGTGAGGGAGGACAGCGAAGGAGAGCCTCCATCACTAGCTTCAATAACAATACTGACCGACGGACGTTCAGGGTCGAACTCCGCTCTGTGATTGATGAACAGTGTTCCTGGATACAGAGGATGAGAGAAAGTCAGACTTTGTGCTGGGGAACTTATCTTTAAAATGTAATGAATAACATATGACCTTTTTAAAAACCCATTTATGGTGCTAATATATATCATTGAGGAAGCAAGGTTGTATACCGTTATTAGGGTCAATGTAGAATCCCTCCTGGGTTGATGACGTCACTCTGTATGTGATCTTGCCGTTTTCTCCAGAGTCCCTGTCAGTTGCTGTTACTGTGATAACGACACTACCTGGTGGTGTGTGCTCAGGAAGAGTTACCTGTGGTGCAAAGATATTAATAACAACATATTAACATCAGAGAAAAATGACCTAAATAAATAAACAAATAACTTAAAAGTGGACCGCATAGGCACTTTAATAAAATTCCCAAAGGGCAATAAACTCACAGAGGGGAAAATGTGAATTTTATATTGTAATTCCTGTTTTTTCTGATTGTGTGGTAATGTTGAGGTCATTTCCTTAGACAAAGAAGGAACAAGCTGATCTCTGCAACGTTTCCCCAGGCAACATTCTGCAGTTAACTTGTATCACTGTGTGAGGGATTTTTACCGTGTGTGTAAAATTGCAGTTTTCTTCTTTAAGATAAACAAAAAAAAGATTTCTTAGGGAGTTTAATTGCCTATCAAACTTTATAAGGTGGGAAAAAAATCAGAAATATAAACGCAATTACTCTGGGCAATTCCTCAGTTTCCTCAGGCAGCAAGTAGTAAACAATGGAAACTAATCAAATTTTGTACCATGAATAAATGTACCGGGGCAAAAACAGAACATTGTCTTGATTTAAAAGCCTTCCTACCTGATAAAGATCGTTGGTGAAAGCAGGTGCATTGTCATTAATATCCTCCACCAGTATTGTTATGTTGGCCTCAGTTTGGTGCTGGCTATCCGTGGCTCTGACAGTCAGGGTGTACCATGTCTTCTCCTCGAAGTCCAGAGGGGCAGTGAGTGACACGCCTCCACTGTAGCGGTGAATCCCAAACTTGCCTAATGCTGTCGGGTCCAGCTGTAAGGAGTAGGAGAGGGCAGGACTGGAGTCGACGTCGTTACCCGTCACAAGAGTGATCTCTGTGCCAATCAACATATCTGGTAGAGAAAGGGATTGAACAAAAACATGTAAGTTGTATTTTACCAACTGTGGCTTAAAGTATGCTCTTCCTTGTTTTTCAACCAATGCACAGTTGTGATACACAAGTACAGATTATCGCACAGGGCTTGTCTGTTTTTAAAATTGTAAGATTTTGCTGTAAACTGACCTACATAAAGGACTACAAATTAAAGGTCCCATGTCATGGCCATTTCTACTGATCATAATTCCATTTTTGAGGTCTACTAGAATAGATTTACATTGTTCAATGTTCCAAAATCACATTGGTTTTCTCATACAGCATCTCTATATAGTATCTGTATTCACTCTCTGTTCTATACGCCTTGTTGGAGCTCCTGCCTCCCCCTCCCTATGAGCCCACTGTGCTCTGATTGGTCAACCACCGTTACAGCTGGACATCAGTGTTTATGTGTTGCAATGGCATTTGTTAGCGGGACGTTGCAGGGCTCGCTGCTCCGCCCTTTGAGGCTGGAGGAGCGGACAGTGTGAGCTGGATTACTGGTGTCGTTTCCTGGTTGCTACTTGGGGTCTGCGAGACAGCGAGACACCGCGGAGCTCAGCCTGAGCACACACACACACACTCACAGCCTGAGCTCCAAGTGTGTGTGTGTACGGAGCTCCGCGCAGCACCGCGGCTGAGAAAAGATAAGGCTGAGTGAGTGAGTGTGTGTGTGTGCGAAGCTCCGCAGCGTTACGTCACTATGACCAGGAAGAAAAAAATGGAAAAAGAAAAATGTCCAACGAGGCGTTCTGGGGCAGTATAGACAGGTATTTTCTGTGTTAGAGTTTTACTCGCTACAGGGTGTACTTTGAGGGTTTGTGACTTTGCAGACCGTTTACATGCATAACAAGCTATATAACACACAAGGGGACGGGTAATAACTGGAAAAGCATGTCATGGGACCTTTAAAGCACTTACTCTCTGGGATGCGGATTTCCTTGGGCAGAGGGATAGTGGGACTGTTGTCATTCTGGTCAACAATTATCACTGTCAATGTGGCCGAACCAGCCAACCCTGGACTTCCTCTATCAGTTGCTGTAACTACAAGCCTGTGGAGGGGGGTGAAAAAAAGGTTGTCCAAAATTATGTTATGTCTCTTACAAGTTTAATTCAAATGATGGTGATTTACAGTTAGAAATTGCACCAGAGCGATTATGATGTGATATGAAATGTCTTCTTTTTTTTTTCTTTCTTCAGTACATATTTACCTCTGTGTATAGATACTTTTATTGTAATAATAATAATTCATTTATTTTATATAGGCGCCTTTCAAGGCTCTCAAGGTCGCTGTACAAACACAGGTCGCCGTACACTCAAGCAGCAGCTCAAACATTGGTTACAGATATATATCCATCAACAAAATGTGCAAAGAGAGTGGATCTGTACTCACTTGGTCTGGGTAAAGATCTCACGATCCATGATGGCTGCTGTGGTGATGCTTCCAGTCATTGGGTCGATTTTGAACAGGCCGCTCACGCCTGATGACTGGATGGAGTAGGTCACCTGACCATTTTGGCCCTGATCTACATCCTCAGCCATCACCTGTATGATGGCCATTTCATATCCCTGTGCTTCTCTCATGTAGGCCACATAATTCTGCAGCTGAAAGCGAGGAAGGTTGTCATTGACATCCTGTAGGATCAGGTTTATAGCCATGAAAGAAGTGGAGGACAAGGTTTCGGCCTTCACAACTAGACGGAGCCTGGGGGTATCTTCAAAGTCCAGCCCATTGGGACTTTTCACCATGATTTCACCTGAAGATTCGAGTGAAAAATGAGGATCAGACAACCATCAAAAGATATAACAAACTAATATGTTTTGTCTTTTAAATCTACACTTGATTAAAATGTAAAAGGACATAACACTTTAAATAATGATTGTGTTTTATGTGAGTTGTACCTGTTGCGGAGGTGATGCTGAAGGCCTGCCTTCTGTTTCCACTGAAAAGGGTGTAGCTGATATCATTACGTGTGCCATCTGGGTGTTGAGCCTGAGCTTGAGCCACAGTTGTGCCTGAATTTATGAAGTACAGCAGAGAAAAAGTTAGTGAAATGTGATCGCAGAGAGTTTTTCTCAGTATGAAGGAGGACATATTAACCTAGATGATGAATTTATCTCTAATGATACATTAATTTCAGACCTTTCACAGCGTTTTCCTGTAGGCTGACGTCTCTGGCATTCCTAGAGAAGCGAATTCCGTTGTATTCCACCTCCTTCACGTAAATCACCACCACTCCCTGTGCAGACTGAGCTGGACTGCCCTGGTCCATGGCCTCCACTATCAGGGTCCTCTGAGCCTGGGTCAGATCCCCCAGTGGCTCAGTGGCCTGGATCTCCCCAGTCAGGGAGTTGATGCTGAAGCCTTTGACTGGCATGGCGAAACGGTAAAACACAGAACCGTTGGCACCAAAGTCTTTATCCTCGGCCTTCATGGTGGCAAGCACTTGCTGGGAACGCCTGCTGGACACCTCGATGACCAGCGGATCCTGGATGAAGAAGGGAGTGTTGTCGTTGACATCTAGGATGGTGACTGTTACCTACAAGGAAGAAATCACATCTGGGTTAAGTTTATTGAAAATGTAATTAACATAAATAAATACTCACAAATCAGTAATGTTTTTCCACCCCTTTATTTACCTGAGCAGAGGTGTTTCTGGGTTCAGCGGGTGAAAGGTCAACTGCAAACACCTGGAAGCTGTATAACGCCCTCTTTTCACGGTCCAGAGGTGCTGCCGTGGTGATAACACCGGTGCTTTCATCCACACTGAATGCTCCGTGCGCCTCTGGGCTAAGGAAGTACAAAACCTTCCCATTGAGGTTATCGTCTGCATCTGTGGCTGACACCTGGAGATAGAAGAATACATTTTTAGGATTAAATGAGTACTATTAAGATATGCACATATTTAGTTTTGGCATGTCCACAATATAAAAGTATAGACCATAACTGTGATATTTTGTTAAATAAATATTGTGTTAGTAAAATACAACATTTAATGAGCTGGTTCTCTCCAAATGTTCTTTTAAAAACACAATAATATGGTTATTATGGATTATTTTGGCCATGTTAACCTTGTAGTGGAATATGATACCGTAACGGCCCTACTTTTGTAAGCAAAGTGACATATCCAGTTTGTTTGGGCAATGTTTGGATATAGTATTATCTAAATTCCCCTTTCCACTTACCTCCAGAACTTTGAACCCCTCTGCAGCGTCCTCTGAAACTTCAACAGAGTAGCTACTTCTGCTGAAGACAGGGTTGTTGTCATTGACATCCATCACTTTCACTTCCACTGTGACAGTAGCGCTGAGAGCTGGGCTGCCTCGGTCCGTGGCCATCACCTCCAGAAAATATTCAGTCTTGGTTTCCCTGTCTAGGCCGCGTGACGTGGACAGGGCTCCAGTGCTTGTTTCGAGGTGGAAATCTCCATCAGGATCCCCAGCTGGATGGAGAATTTTTTGGGAAAAGAAAGAAAAACTTTCAGAATCCAAGAATTTCTGTGGTCATAATGTTAAAAACATCTGTGCCAACACTGCACTTAAGTTTGAATGTGCTCCAAACCGTATATGAAACATACTTTGTTTGAAATAAGACAAAAGAAAGTCATGAGCAAGATCGGATTTTGGATATGGGAGGTACAGAGAACTGTCAAAATCAAAACATTAGTTTGAATGCTCCATGAATAGCCTCTCAATCGAATCCTGCACACTCTCAGTATAACTATATCACCAATAACACACAGTGCCAACTGTAATAATCTGTCAACAATCTCTTAATTTAAACTCCACAGTTTTAAGACTGTAAACACCAAAAATGACAAAAATGGACTGACTATCCCAGGATATTGTTATTTCCCCATCCGACACACCCTCAAACAGCAATTACAGCAATTATGGTGAACTAAATTGCCCTTTAAATCAATTATAATAAAATACTCTGGTTACACACACAACGCTGTTCCTCACCAGTGATCCTGTACTCCAGCTCTCCTCCAGGACCTGAGTCAGGGTCTGTGGCCTTGAGGAAGCAAAGCTCAACGGGCGCCTGGTTCTCTGGCACCTCCAGTCCGTACCATGACTTTGCAAAGACTGGAGTGTTGTCGTTTACATCCTGCACCGCCACACGGACTACAGCCTTGGCAAAGTTAGAAGGCAGACCTCCATCCCTGGCATAAACTGAAAAGAGATGCACATTGTTTAGCTGATGAGAAGTTGGAACCAATACAACATTTTAATATAAGGTACTTTAATGAGCTTGAACTCTGTTAGTATATAATTGGTTGAATGTATTTGTTTGAGACGATAAATATAATAATACCAGTGAGTGTGTAGTGATCCTGGAGCTCTGCATCTAGTTCCCTCGTAGTGGTGATGACTCCTGTCATAGGGTTGATGATGAAGCCTTCCTCTGTCACACCTCCATACGTCACTTGGCCATTAGAACCTGCATTGAAACACAAATCAGACACAAATTAGAAAAAAAAAGGCAGGGCAAGCTTGAAGCAAATTCCAATGCAGAAATATGAGGCTGTGAACGTGTGTGACCACACATTTTCATTAGCATGAGCATGTGGTTTGGTTTAAAGTCATTATGTTCACAGAACCATGTATGTGCCTCTATTGTTTCATTATGTGGCCTTCTGGGAAAACTGGAGGCATATGTAGATCATATGAATCAGCTGTAATGTTTTAATCATTCAATGCTACAGTGAATGTTAGTAGTAAGTGAACAGAGCCTGGTTCTTTCTTTTTTCCTTTGCAAACCAACCTTGATCCCGGTCAGTGGCAGTAACTTTCAGCACGGTTGTTCCTGGTCCTTGGTTTTCCATCACCTGGGCCTCAAACTCTGCCCGCTGGAATATTGGAGCTTCATCGTTCACATCGATCACCTGCACACTCAGCACCTGAGCTGTGGAAAGCTGAGGCATCCCATGATCCTCTGCTATGATGGTCAGATTAAACACCTCCTGCTCTTCTCGGTCTAGTGCTTTAAGGATGGAGAGAGAACCTACAAAAGAGAAAAGAGGATTTCTTTTAAACCCCATTTCCTGGATTACTTCACTTTAAATACATATTCTCAAGTGGAATGCCTTGGTCTTGAATTGTGTGTGTAGGTGTGTTCGGGTCTGAATGTGTGTCCGATTATTTTTGTGAACGTGAAATTGTGTGTACTTGAGAGAGGCAGTTTTTGTATGCCTGGAAGGACTAGTAAAAACAAAACCTTTACAGCTTTACTTGATGAGAGTTTCCACAGTAAGTGAGAGACCACAGCCAAGCTTATACATTCTTGAACTTTGAAAATGCATACAAATGTGAATCAGAGCTTTTTATCAGTGAACATGTAGGATTATTGTGTGTGCAGGCACTCAGGCAACCACACGCAGAGTCCAGACTACAACCTGAAAGTACATAGTAGCCAACTATAATCAACCTTTGACCTCTATTAAAATGTACTTCTTTTGTTTTGCTCTGTACTACATTAAAGTATCTGTTAGCCTTTAAAACTGTTAGGCATTACTAATGTAACTCGTTCACATAGATTATTGAGAAAGACCACCACTACTCAGACTCTGGCTTCAGTTACTCCCCTACCTTTAATGCCAACAGCTCACAACTGTCACCCCCCTGAATACAATGAGGGTCAGTCAAAGTGAAAGGAAATATAAAAGTGTGTGTACAATACACAACATTGTATAATGTAGCTGAAAAGATGTGTGTATTGTATTAATGCTGCAGCATGCCAAACCTATTCATTGTGTGTTTACTGGTGTGTTAAACTGAGGCTCTGATGTTCCTGTGAGGCTTTGCTTGCTCCATTGGTTTTTAGCCAAATGCAAACAGATGTAAAACATTTACGGTTTCATTCTCTTCTGTAGCCAATTCTTTGTTACTGATACAGCATTCACCACACGATAAAGGTGTTATTACTCTCTGGAGTAAATATGCTCAAACTCACACAAAACCCTTATTTAGTCCTGCAGTAGTTCTCAAGGTTTTCTAGAGACACTAATTATATCAGACTGAATTTCACAGAAATACAGACATATTGTTTCAATCTAATGCAGTCCTGCACACATGTCGTTTATGTCCATGCAGGTCTGACGTGGCTTCAATGATGGAACAAACACACAATTTATAGGCAGTATTGATACTCTCATACAGTATAAGAAGAAGTATGGTAAATGTCTGTGCAAGACAATTCTAATCCGCTATTGTTAACCATAAGCTTAAGAACACACAGCCTGAGAAACAAACCAGAGGTGAAATCAAACCGCTAATGCAGCAGACACTTGACAGTAATGAACTAAAGACTTTCTTCCATCTGGAAGTTGCATTAAGTGTCTGTCTCATGGTTCTTAATCCCATCTCAGCCGGTGCTTAGTACGCCTCCATCAGCTCTGATGATGAAGAGATTGCACATACACATCATATCAAAGGGTGTCCACATCCACAGCCCAAATTAAGATCAGTTCCCATGAAGAAACCCGTCAAGTAAAAAACCCTGAAGTATTACTCAAGTGAAATATTGCTCTCAGGCCTTGACAGATCATTTAGTAAAGAGTGGGTTATGAGTGTTTTAACAGTTGAAAACCAGTAGAAACAGCACTTCATTGGGTAATTACGATCTTGTGGAAAGTTCTGTTCATCCAGGGGGCTTCCACGGGTGGGATGCTGATTATCTATCAATCATAAAACCCTTACAGCAGAGGGCCACATACTACTCCCATTGTGTTAAATCATTCAAAGGATTGTTAATGCACAAAATGATGTGGTGAATTTTACCCTAATCATCACTTGATGGAGTGTAAATTGGGTAGTCATGAAAATCCACAGTTTCCACAGACCTTTATATATTATTGGAACATTAGGATATTTTTAAATGTCAACTCTCACGCTAAAAATAAGCTTACCAGTGTTGGGGTTCAGACTAAAGCGGCCAGCGCTGTTCCCTGTCTGGATTCTGTATGATACTCGGCCATTTTCTCCTTCATCTTCGTCTCGAGCCATCACGTACAATATCACAAACCTGGCAGTAGAAATACAAACGTTAGATTAACATGACCACTTTTAGCTCGGGGCCATAAAAGTGGAGATTTTTCAGCACAATTATTGGGTTTTCTTGTCCTTGAATGACAGATGAAGAATCAGTTAGACATGTCTCTCACCCTACAGGCTGATCCTCCATGACGCTGACCGCAGACGGAGAGCTGAAGATCGGAGCGTTGTCGTTTTCGTCCGTCACAAACACTCGAGCAGTGACTGAACCCCAGCGCCTCTGAGAAGGATCCACTGCCTGATCTGTGGCACGCACCACCAGGTAGAGGGAGGGTGTTGACTCACGATCTACCTTCTGCCCCAGGGTCAGGACCCCGCTTGAGGGGTCGAGGGTCAAGAGGTCTGGAGTGTCAGGCCAGTGGTGCTCAATTGAGTAATGCAACTCACTATTGGGTCCACTACCATCCTGTAGAAAAGAAAACTAATTAATCAATGAGAGGAAATGTTGATACAGCAAAGAAATTGACATAAAATCTCAAGTGATAAATGTGTTTTTGGTCTTGAAGAAAATATTTTCCTTTTCTATTTTGTCCCTAAAATACTCCATCCTTATCTCAGCATTTGATCAAATCAAACTTTATTTGTATAGCCCAATATCACAAAACAGTGTCTCAGTGGGCTTTACAGATTAAAAACAAACAACAACATTGTATATGATGGAGTTACAGCAAAATGATGAATCAGTGGAAGAACATGATGACATCTAAGAAAATTCCTTCCGAATAACTTGTAAGTAAAGTTTAAACTATAAATCCATGGTTATCACACTTGTTCTTTAACATGTAACATATTTGGTTCCCACCTGATCCAAAGCCTGGAATGTATATATGGAAGCCCCTGTGTCTAAGTTCTCTGGGATCACAATGGTAACGGGGTCCTCTGTGAACTGGGGGGAATGGTCATTGCTGTCCTGCACGATGATGTCCAGCTGCACCAGGTGGCTGCTGGGAAACGCCTTGGAGAAATCAGACACCTCGATGTGCAGCGTGTACCTCGAACCCTTCTCGTAGTCCAGCTCCCGCACCAGATACACATCACCCTTTAATCGGTCCACCATGAAAGTCCCATCTTGGTCTGTCCCCCCCACAACCAGGTAGGTCACCTGACCTTCCAACACATTAGACTCATGGTGGTCATGAGGGCGGACCGAGCCAATGATGGAGCCCGGAGCAGCTCCTTCCACTGTGTTCAGGGTCATGGAGAGCATGTTGTGCTTTGTGTTGGACCGAGAGGAGCTAAGAACCTGAACAAAAGAAAACAACAACAATCAACACATTTGATTTAAAGGTCTCCTATTATGCTATTTTTAGGCATATATTATAGGTCTCAGATATATACAAATATATAAAAAACATGTCTATGATCTGTTTTGCTCAAAATACCAAACAGATCATGCATTTTAGACATCCCTCATATCCCTCTATTCCAGCCCTGTTAGAGAAACGCTGATTTTGGGTCCTTAGCTTAAAAAAAGAAAAGAGGAGCGGGAGCTTGTGCCTGCTCAGAATACTACGAGATACAGCTAAATGCTGCCGCGATTAAATGCCATATCATGTTCCAAACCACATCACGGATTATTTCTGAAACAGTATGGAGCTCAAATGCTTTTTCTCTCGCAGGTTTACCACAAGGTGAGTTCCTTTTTTAATTTCCTGCTTTTTTACACATACTCTCTCCAGTACAGGTTAGCTCTGAGTGTTAGCGATGCTTGCTAATATAAACACAGTCCATATTACTTCCAGAAAATGTCCGGTATTGTTTCTGATAGCAACGTTTCTGATAAAACTCATGAAAAAGTGCATTTTGCATGATAGGTCCCCCTTTAATATCCACAAATGTAAGTAAAATGTATAGAAAGGGTAGAGAGAGCTGTACTGGATCTGGTTTCCTTTGGTATTCTGCAGACAATGTAGCATATACAGTATGGCTCTCACCCAAGCCCATCCCTAAACATAGCCTTTGGCTGTAATCTGTTTCTGTTTTGTTGCTTATTACTATACTAATCCTCACAGGCATTCTCATTGTGCATGAAGACATTATCTTCAATCTTTCCAGTAAATATCCTGACACTGCGGCATTCTGGCTGCAAGATGAGAGTCAGGGTTTGTGACCTGTGACAACATAATGAAGGGTGCTCTAGTTCAAATGATACAGAGCAAATACGTGCAGCCTCCATACGGCACCGTCCGGTCAGATGGGAAACAAGTACGCGCCAGAGGGCTTTCGGCACTCTGAGCAACAGCCTCAGGGTTTGAAATAGTTCTGGGACAGATCAAAGAGCCCTGGAGACAGCAAAAATAAGCTGATTTTAACAGGCTCTCGTTTCATCATCTTTCACCACCAGGATCTGTTGCAATTAAAGGCATCTTTCTGGAGTCACAGGCTCCTCCAACAGTGCAACACAATAAAACAGATAAACAGAACAATATAGTGCAAGTAAATAGTAAATACAAAAAGAAAAATAGTTTAAAAAAGTGAAATAGTGCAATAAGAGACTATATGCAAGTTATTGGTCTTCATCAAATGTAAAATACAAGGAGGGGGGGGAAGTGATGGGGATATTAAAAAAAGACTGACTATATTTGAGACATTATCATCTAAAATGCCCTATAAACCGCTTGCCAAAGGGCTAACAGAATTTCAAATTAGATGATTTACTAGACAGAGTCAGAAACGGCATTGTACAGTACTATTTGCACATCCTTTGATTTTACGCATATAGTACAAGTACACTAGCTAGTGTGTGTTCTGTAGTACCTGTGGTGTACAGCAACATCCCAGTGGCTGCTTTTACCCACAGCTATGTGAAATGTTATCTCAAAATCATTACCTGGAAATGTTACCTCATGAGAGTGTTTGAATGTTATAGTGGGCCTGAGTGCATGTACGTATCACTGCCTGCTACCGTACAATGGAGTATTCCCTTTCTCTCTGTGTGTGATTTGATGCAGCTGGCTCTCATCAAATCTCATCTGGGAGCATTTGATTCCAAGGTGCCTGTTTCCCCTCTGTCTAATCTCAGTGTCGCACAAGCACGGAGCAGGAAAAATCTAAGGCAAGCTCTCCCGCTGTAATTAGCATCCTTTTCCTTTCTGAAATCAAATCACATGAAAACACTGAGCTCAAAGCAAACCACCACCCTTTTCTGGCTAAATGCCTCACTTGCAGGCCATTTTATTTCCCGCTGTAGAATTCCTGATATTGAAGGCTGATATGCAGGATTGACCCTCATACAGAAAGTTCAGAACAATAACTCAGACCAGAACAGCTCCCTCCTGCAGCTCAGGGTTTCTCACCTTGGGTTTTGGTTACCCCGCTAACCTTTGCAGCAGGAAGCACACACTAGATTGAATAGATGATTCTGTTTGTACAGGCACAGCTTCAGCTTCTCTCCTTCTCCTATTTATCTCCTTTTAAAATTCCTTTGACAGTTATACTTTTCACATTGTGCACAGTTTGAGGAAATTACTCGCAGCAAGGAATGCAAAATGACTGAGGTAATGTAAGGAAGAGAACTTGTTTTGGCCATCAGATTGACCATTGTTTCTGATTGCCCAATGCCTTAGAAATGAATTAAAGACACATACAATGTTTTGTTCTTGCAGCTGTAGGGTGGATGAAGATATTTTACATTTACAGATTATATGTACCTGTATTCTAAGCTGGCAGGTGGAACTGAGGCCGGGGGTGCCGTGGTCAGCAGCGGTCACAGTAAACTCGTACTCGGCTCGCTCGGCCCATCTCAGAGGGGAAGCGCTTTTAAGCTCGCCACTATTTGGGTTGAGGGAGAACCGCTCTGCTCTGGAGCCTGCAGAGGATGCAACAGGTATGGATTTCAGCTCACGGTTAAAGTCATAATGATGAAACACTATGAACGTACAGAGGGAAGTGATTGAAGAGGATTAAGACACTCACCTGATAACGAGTAATATATGGTCCCATTCTCTCCCTCGTCTGGGTCTTTAGCCGTCACTGTCCCAATGAAAGTCCCAGATGGAAGCCCCTCCTTCACCTACAATGAGAAAGGATTGTTATTCACAGGAATGTCTCTCTCCAACGCCTTTTCTATGAACACTATCTTCCTATTACGTTGATCCGTATTTCTAATCTAGTTACTTTATTATTGTGATAGGAAAGGTAGACACATAGAATAGGTTCATTTCTCTTATCAAATCCCTTTCTTCTCACCTGATGGAGCAGCTCCCTGTCTGGCCTTGCGTGATTGAAACTGGGGGCGTGGTCGTTTTCGTCCAGCACAGAGATGTGAGCGGTGCCGGTGGCACTGCGAGGCGGAGTTCCTCCGTCCTGTACGACTACAACGAGCTGGTAGCTGGACTGCTGTTCTCTGTCCAGGGCGAGGCGGGTGCTTATCTCACCTAAAGAAGAGAGGGAAGGAGACGGAGCCCTTAGCTTGCATTATTTGCAATTAGTTAGGCCTGATTACTATTTTCATGAAAAGACAAACAGCAAAGTAATTAGTTCCTTAAGGGAAATCACGCAATGTTGTAACTACATAGCCAGTGTGACACAATTACTACAAACTGAGTTAAGTGAACTATTAGCATTCTTCCATTACAATGAATAGTTTATTAGGATTTATCTTCACCTGTTTGTGAATTGATCTGAAAGTGCCTGTCGGTGTGCAGCAGCCTGTAAGTGAGTCGAGCGTTTAGTCCTGCATCTCTGTCCGTTGCAGACACCCTGCCAAAGCCGGTCCCTGCGAGCAGGTTCTCTCTGACAGCCAGAAACACCCTCTCCTGGCTCAGTCTTGGTGAATTGTCGTTCTCGTCGGTTACAGACACCCTGACTGTTGCACTGCCGGTTCTCCCCACTCCTCCGGGGCCTGAAGTGGCCAGGACAGTCAACAGGTACATGTCTTTGACCTCTCTGTCCAGAGAGCTGCGAACAAACAGCCACCCACTGTCTGGCATGATGCCAAAACCGGCAGCATCACCGTCAGGCCTCAGGCGGTAGGAAATAGAGGAGGAAGAAGATGAAGAGGAGCTTTTACCATTCCCAGATGCCTCTCTGTTGAGCGCTCGAACCTGGAGGAAGCGTGTGTTGAGAGCTGTGTTTTCCCTTAACTCCACACGGTATGTCAGCGTGTCGAAATGTGGGCCTTGTGCATCCTGCGCTTGGATGTGGACCACGAGGGTGAAGGTGGAGCTAAGCTGAGGCGCTCCGCCGTCCTTGGCAACCACTTGAAGGTCATAGCGTGGCACACTTTCGTATGACAGACTACCAATCAGACGCACCTCTCCGCTGCCTCGGTCAACACCGAACGTCCTCTGTCCGCTGCTGCCTGCAGACCCAGCAGAGACCAGGTCGAAGCTCAGCTGACCGTTATGACCCGAGTCCTTGTCGGTGGCCTGAATGCTGTAGATAACAGTTCCCATTTTGGTGATCTCAGGTAAACTCAGGGACTCTGATGAGGAGGGGAGGAAGGTCGGGGCGTTGTCGTTGACGTCTGAAATGGTTATTCGTACCCGACTGGTTCCATACGCTGGAGGAGAGCCGGAGCGGGCCTGGATCTCCAGGTCGAGGCTGGAGCAGGTCTCATGGTCCAGAGGAAGAGCAGAGCGGATGGTACCAGAGGCTCGGTCCACTGTGAAGTAACCATCAGGGTCCCCAGAAGAGATGGAGTAGAAGATATCCTTTGAAACACCTGCATGGAGGACAAAGGGAGACAGCAAGAGAAACAAAAAACTGTGAGAAAATGACAAAGAGACAAGAGCTGTAATCATAGATAAGTGAACAAGCATGTCATAATGTTAAAAAACTTTTGACAAACTGAAAGCAGCAAATACTACTATTTCATTACTAGAAGGGAGGACAGCATTTCAAAAATAATGTATAGGGCTGTTGATATGCACTGTCTTTAGCTTAATGAAAACATACACGGCACATTTAAAATGCATATGACAGATCCATATCTGCTTTAAGAAGACATGGAAGTGGTGTGTTTATTATTTTTCCAAGTCTTCACAAAGGGCTGGATTCACTCCGAGTGGGTGAGAGGATAGAATCATGGAAAGCGTTGTACATTTACACAGACAGAGACAAGTGTTTCTCTGTCTGCTGCAGCACGGAGAACACTTCATTATGACTCCCACTCACAATTACACCCCCATCCAAATTCACTTCTCCATCAATAATACTGAGAGAAAATAAAAGTCTGGCCAGAGTCAAAATAATCCTCAGTAAAGCACACACTCTGTGATGGATGTGATTTGTTAATGGAGTGTATGCTCTTGTTGCTTTCGTATTTGCACAACTGCTGGACTGAGAGGTTAGACATCATGCACTCTGCAGCCCATTAGAGCATTTTTGTCCTGGTATTCATCAGGAAGATGAAACCAGGAACAGAAAAGCACATACAATAGCTTCCCTATGGCATTCGGGGTAAATTGATAAAAACAAGCCTGGTATACAGACATAGGTAACACTTTATATTAAGGTACACATATTCACTATCAACTAGTTGTTAATTAACATGCATATTAGCAGTATATTGGCTATTTATTAGTCAGTATTAAACACTTATTAATGCTTTATTCTATTTGACCATATTCTACAAGTGCTAGGGCATTAGTTAAGAGTTTTTCCTCAATAACCGTCTAATTAGTGCTTATTTATTGTAAGGAAGTTGTTGTACATGAGTGTTGGTCTTAATATGCTCAATATGGGTCTAATAAGGCAGCAGTACCACAAGAATAGTAATTCTCCCATAATAACACCAAACAAATATGGTCTATTCTTATGTAACAAGACATGAAACTAAAAGGGTTAATTGTGTAAAAATAACAAAAAATGTGGTATAACTCAGAATTCCCTATTTTAAAATGAAGTCTTGTTCATAACAAATAAGCTAGTAGTTTAACTAGTTGATGGTGAATAAGTGTACCTTAATATAAAGTGTTACACAGATATATATTGACATAGAGCGAAGGAGAAAATGATCGTCCAACACAAGCGTCCTCACCTGTCTTTGTTGCAGCTCGGACCACTCCCACCGCTGTCCCCCTGAGAACGTCCTCTGACACGGTGAAGAAATACTGGGCCTGGTCAAACACGGGAGACGCCACGGAGCCTCCCACCACACTCACGTTCACCCTGGCATTTACCGGTGCCGTCAAACCACCACCGTCCTCAGCTGATATCACCAGGGAGATCACCGTGTTGGCTTTACCGTGGAGCGAGCGTGAAAGAGAAATCACACCTGTAGAAGAAAAGAGAATCAAAGATTGATGGTTGTGGTTTTTAAAAACTCCAAAGAAAGTTTCACAATAGGTCATTCCTGTTTGCTATCATGTGTTGTTGATAGTATCACACACACATACCTGTATCCTTGTTGAGAGTGAAGAAATTAGAGCCTCCTCCAGGTACCGTGCGATAGGTCACCCGGCCATTTTCCCTAGCATCTGGGTCATTTGCTGTCACCTTGACGACAGATGTTCCAGGGGCGCTATGGGTGCTGAGACTGACTGTGTAGAGGACTGGATAGAAAGTGGGCCGGTTGTCATTGATGTCCAACACCGTGACCCGCACACGTGCAACCGAGCTCAAGCCACCCTGAAAAATAAATGCTTCAGATTAGATTTAAGATGTTTGCATTAAAATAAGATCCAAGCAGAGCACACAAGGTCAGACTAGAAATGTTGTAATGATATTATGGTCCTTAAATGACTGGTCTATTGAGACAAAGGGAGGCTAAACAATAAGAATAGCTATTTGGTTAAACAACATTCCTCCCTCCCTCCCTTCCTGGAATATATATCCCTGGAGACAACATTCAATTTGTTTTTATCCCTTGGTGGAAAGCGACAATCCAGGACATTCATGTTTTGAAACTTCCACAATAGATTGATGTCGAAGTGTAAAGATGAAGCAGCTGTATAGGGAAACAGAAATATTAGTCCTCTGTTGAAAATCCCTGAAATATGGAACCAATTAACCATTGTGTGCATTTGTCAGCGAGGAGAAGAGTTTGCAGTCATTACACTATATCTGCTGGCTTGGTTTTTATGAGAGCATTAAAAAACAAGGATAATGGAGTCAGAGCGAACAGACAGAGGAACAGGGAACGTGCCGGGCGGGGGGGGGGGGGAAGATGCATTCTGGGGGTGCCGAGCCAAATAAAGGGAATTCAAAGAACGAACACTGCCTCCTCTATGACTAATGAAGATACATTTAAAACAATGGTAGTGCATTATATTTCTTCATGTAACCTTAATACACACACAATAAGAATGCTTTATTATTCTTAACGAAAGTTTTAATGGCTATGTAAGGGCGCCCAGGGTGATTAATTGATGCTTCAAATGTGTAGGTGTCCTTTAGAAAGAGGCTATTGAAAAGACTGTAATTGTGGTAAAATGAGGCATCATATTTATCTTAAATTGTATATCGTACATAAGGTTATTTGAGTTGTGTGTGTAAATGGATCTGTTGTACTTCTTTACCTTTTCCATCCCCATACTCCCTCTCTGTTTGCTCTGATTGCTTTGCCATGTTGTTGTGGTTCCCCTTGATTTTTTAAAGTTTTTTTTTTGAAGACTCCCAGTTAGAGTCAGGATGCTGTCTTCTTCAAACATGTCCCCAATGTCTCTTTGATCAGATTTATTCTTTGCCTTCTGCTTGCAGGTTTGATCAGAAGGAGCATTATACACTGTGTTTGGTCATGGAGCAACACAAAGGAAAGTGCTTTGTCTTTAGTTTATTTTGATGTTATGGTCTTTTCCATAGTTTCTGTAATCAAAGTAAATTAGGCTTTGATTGTACAGAAGACTTCAAAAGTAAAATTACTTGTTGGTGGGGTATGCTTATTTGAATTGGGTGATAAAACTGATCTATGAAGCTGCCACGTAGTTCAGTTTAGCACAACGACTTGAAACAGGGTCCCCCTTAGCTGGATCTGTAAAAACAATACACTTACCAGAAACTTTAAAGATCACTAATAACCAATCTATAATTATTCCGGTTTTAACGGGTGTTTTGTACCTTTACTTTACTTTTTTTTCTTACCTCCAGTCGTTGTGCTAAACTAAGCTTGTCTGCCCTGTTGGCGAGTCATAGCAATATTATTTCCCAAATGAACAACTATTCCTTAAAAAGGTTTTTAGAGATTACGTCTACTTGTTACTATTCCTTATAGTTTCAAAAGGTAAGAATGGTCTTACTCCATCCGTTGCAGTGACGGTCAGGTCAAACTTTTCCAGTCCCTCATCACGATCCAGAGCTGTGCTGGTGCAAATCTGGCCAGTCTCCTTGTTGATGGTAAAGTGGGTTGGTGTTGCACTTCCAGAGCCAGAACCCAGGACGTAAGATATCGCGCCAAAGGAACCACGGTCCTCATCTGTGGCCGACACCTGAGGGAAAAGACACGCAAGGTTAAGACATGGACGGTCTACCGGTGCCAAACTGCCCGTGAGACATAAAGATTTCAAAACGCATCGCATCAACACACACAGCAGGTTCTGAAATCTGCGTGAAAGAACCCTACATGTGTCATACTTATTATATACGAGCTAAGGGCCTTTCTGTTATCACAATAATGTCCAATAATGCAGCCACTTCACAGGCTCCCATACATCTGCAGTTGTCAAAATATCACACACCATAGCACTACTTGTTATGATTTCCAGAGAACTATAAAAAACAAACATCTGTGAGAGTGATTCACCTTTATAAATCACTGATATGATGTATGTGAAAAACGGACAGTGACCATGGACACAGATAAAGGGAACTGACAGCGAGGAAGAGAGTTTTACAGAGGTTGTGAGTTTAGTTCAGGGGTCAAAAGAGGCCCTAAAAAAGGCATTTAAATAAGATACAGACTGCCACTTAAATGCACACCTCAAACATAAATTATTTCTCCATTCTATCTCCTACAAAAGGGCTTTAACATGTTAACACCAGACATGTAACAGACACAGGTCTTGACATAACCTTTGACTTTTTTGTCTCATTTACTTAAAATCCTTCTTTCTACTGCACACACTCGTAAGCTCCAACCAGATCTAATAAAACATCGAAAAATCCCATAATACAACAAAGATTTCCTTGCAAAACACAAAAAGGAAATGCCCTTTGTGCTCCATGGGGTCCTGCCTCTGACTGAAGTTTTACACAGGTCCATAACATTGTTTGGTGGCGTTTATGGCGCTTGTTAAAGAAACATTCTCCCTCTGATCTAGAAGTATTGAACGCGAGCCAAGATCCAGGAGGCCTCATGACATCACTTCCTCTCTGCTATTGACATCTCTAATACAGCAAAAGTAAGATATGTTTAGTGATGTCCCAGAAAACTTTAGTTTCAATTTTTTTAAGGGGCAAAGACAGGTTAGTTATCTGAAGGAAAAGGATAATATACTTGGTCTAAAAAATGATGAAAATGATATAAGAATAGAAAAATAGAATATTGAAAGATTATTACAATTAGAAAGAAAGACACAAATATCTTGTATCTTATGAATAAACGTTATATTTCATGAATTAGTGAGTATAAGAAAACTAGTCTTAATATGAGGAGAATACGTTGAGAAAAATATTTGTTTTCTTATATCGATATTCTCAACCACCATTTTGTTTTACATTACATTACTTGTCACTTGTTAGACGCTTTAATCCAAAGCGACTTTACATACTCAATACTGTGGACAATCCCCACAGGAGCAATTTGGGGTGAAGTGTCTTGCCCAGGGACACAACGACATGCTGACTGCAGTGGGGTTTGAACCTGTGACCCCCTGATCCGAACACCAACACACAACCCACTGCACCACCCAATACTGGCCCAAATATAGTGTTGTTATATATTTAAACAGTTTAAAGTTCATATAAGTCTACTTGTCGTTCAATAGTGTTTTCCAACCGAATCTAATTTACAAAAAGGGCTAAATTGGAAAAAGACAGACGTAAAGAAGTCAGATCTCTTTTGCCTGTGCTTTTTGTTATATGATTTTATCAAATGTCTATATCCTATGTGTGAACTTGCCCTGGGCCTGAACCCCACCGAACACAGGACCACCGCAGCAGACATCCGGCAATGACCTTTCTTCCACCCCCCTCAACACATGTCTTCACCATTACACCTACCTACTCTACTGGCTATAGACAGATGGCAGAAACACAACCACCTTGACTCATGCTGTTGATCCTATAGGATATTAAAAGATGGGAATATTAGAAAAGCTCCTCCAGAGTTTTAGGTCATAGTGTTACCGCGGCTAGACGTGTTTTGTTTCCGAGGGGTCATACTGTACCTCTGCCTTTGGTCAGTGTTTACAGCTGGGGATTTTAGATCAGTGCTGGGACTTCCTTCAGAGTACAGTGTTGAGACTAATACAATCTTTTGGGATCTATGCACATGTCTGGGTGTTCGTCATATCTTTCTGACGGTCTGTGATGGATTAGCCACCTGTAGTGATGAGAACTGGACAATCGTGTACATGCTCACACACACATACACATGCTTGCATACTGTGTGATGACCCCATCTTTTCACTTAATCTAATTAAAGAGGCTTTAAGCCCCATGACCGCCCACCTGGTCGTAGAGTGACTTCACCGACACCTCTATCTTTACCCCACAACGTCGGTTGTATCACAAACAAAGACGAAGTTATTGGTGTTCTAACTTGTTGCAAAGGAGACATGACTGTAATTTATAGGTTGAAAATAAATGGGTTGGGTACATGAATTTTCTTGGATGTAGTTTTTATATAGATGCTTGGACTGGTAAACGCATATACTGTAGGCTGCGAACAAGAAGGAGAGCAGGACATTGATTCTCCACACACTCTAAAATGTTGAAACCCACAGCAGTATGGTATGGATTCTTCATGCTGGAAAAAATATGCAAGACAAATAAAGGTTGCACATTTTCATGGAAACCTTGGGAGCTATAAAATAAAAATATATAAGGATTTGGGGTTTTCTGCTCCAACATACAACTAGAGGTTTCATACTTTGTGACTGTTGAAGTAAAACAAAAAAAGAACAACGAACGCAGAGGGACAGAAAAAGACACAGAGAAATCCCCTAAAGCTGGAATACATGACTGTTTTTGTCACAGCACAACATTTTGAAAATGTATAGCAAGAGAAAGTCCTGTCAGCCCTCTTTGAAAAAAGAGGAGCTTGTAAGAAGTCTGTCATCGGTACATTTCCCTCCTGTCAATCCCTCTGACATGACATGCCGATCCATTACTAAAAAACTCCTTTCCCAAGGTTTAGTATCCTGCATTTACAGCACTTATCTCAAATAAAAAAGTAGCAGTGTTGAGCCAATAAGATTATCTAGTAAACACACACTGCAACATGTCTTCTTAAATCAAGCGATCTGGTGAGCCAGACGATGGTGTTTGCCAAGGAGGAACTACTCCCACGTCAGAGCCTGCTCTCAAAGGCATAAGCAGCCAGCCAGTCTCCACTCTGTACACTTATTCCTCATCGTACTCTCCGGAGGTTTCCTACTGTGATAAACACACAACTTCATCGCAATACATACAGACAGCAGCTCATGCCTTTCAACATCTAAATCTCCCCTGCCCTTAAGTATACATGCTTAATTGTCTGCTTGATATTTGTGGGATCTTCTGCATTTACACAGATTTTTGGATGCAAACGTCAATGGCAGGGTGGTCTAGTCGTTAAAAAGGCCCGGTTTAAACTACAAGGTCAAAAGTTTGGTCCCAGTGTTTTTGTAATGCCCTGGAGCATGCCACTGAACCTCTAAAGTTATTTCTGGCTGTGTTTTATTTTGGATGATGCAGGATTTACTTATATGTAGTCAAGAAAAAAATAACATTCACATCCTATGGTGGTCATTATTATATTAAAGGGTCATGATGGTGGTTTTGCAAGTTGACTTTCATACATTATTGGCCTTAACTGAAACTGATGGTTGCCTGGAAGGTGGTGAATGCCTGGAGTGTGGTTTCACTTTGGAAAATGGTCTACAGTAATGCTAAGTATACACAATTTGAAGTTAATGGGCTTAGACGTGCAATACTGCGAATGTGGTTCTTTTCTGTGGAGGCTCTGATATCACACCTGATGTTAAAAAATGTTATAAATATCCTATGACAGGAACATGGCTTGAACATATCTCTTGACAATAGCTGACCTATGACAAAATTATAATTTAAAGTTTAAAATCACTTCTAACATGCATTACAGTATATGACGCACCAGATGTGGAGTTCACTTTGAGGTATTGGCCTTTCAAAACATTTATCAATGGAAAAATCATGGAAACTCAAACCATTTCAAGAAAATACTTCTGTTAAGCATCTGCCAACCATCTGAAATTGTAATACATGAAACATAAATTCAACCAGCTTAAGATTTTTCAGCTGTACTTTGATTTACCTATCGTGTAGTTCATTGAGCGACCACTCTGTTAAAAGCTACACTCTAGCTCCGCACAAGTCATCCGCTATGTGAAAAACAGTCAGGAAGAGCGTGCCGAGTATCGGATTCTGCCAGGACTCCTGACTGAAGGTTTTTGTCCTAAGAGAGCCATTCATCTCCAGCTGGGACCTGAGATAGAGGAGCAATCACTCACTGGAGCATTAGCAAAGATCCCTTCCTCATCATTCATTTGCCCCAGTCGTCTTTACAAGCATTCTTTCTTTCCCTTTCTTTGTCTCTCTACCGTTCCACTTAGCCTTCGTATAGTCTCTGCTCCACAGTCACAATCATTCTCTTTCTGCAGAAACACGGACAGGCTTCTATACGAGAGAACACTCAAATCTGAGATACACATCTAAACCTCTTAACGCTCATACACATCCCCCAAAGTCAGTGTCAGTCACTCGAAGTATTTTATCCTGAAAAGAAGTGGTTTTCTGTCTGAGATGTGGTGCAGATTAGCAGGTAGCGTCTAATGGCATATTTCCTTATACAACCGTTGGCATGATATATTACGAAAAAAGTTATTATTTTCCAACTAATGTCCAGGAATCTTAAGGAACAATGCTACTTGTTTAGGTCTGGGAAAAACTACAATTAATATAAAATAACTACATACGTTGCATTACTTACATACAGTTATGTTACAAATAAGTCTATTTATCTATTTTGTATTTATTTATAGAAGGACCATGCATACAAAAACATTAATCTCAGCAAAGAGAAGAGATGCAATATGCCAGATTATAGCTAATAGCTAATTGCCATCTGTGGTCCTCAGGCAGGTTCATAACAATCAATAAACAAATAATAACATTGCATGATCTCCATCAGTCAAACAATTTTAAAACCTGATTTAAGTACAGCTCAATAAATTAATACATAGTACACTTGAAATACACTTACATGATCTCGGTCACTCAAATAATTACAAAGCCTGATTTAAATTCA